ATATCTAAATGAAGTAATTCAAACGGACTGAGAGCATGAGATGTACTAGAAGGAAAAGGAAGTCGTTTTTGTTTCGCTAAAGGGCAAACAGTACAAGGAGTTTTATTATTACTAATAGAAGGTTTAACATCCTTGTCTAAGAACTGGGATAAAGGAATGGCAGTATGGCCAAGCCTATAGTGCCAAATATCAAAAGGAACAAAATCTGTATTGAAACAAACATTACAGACAGATAGTGGAGGCTTAGGAAGTGGCATGTTGAGATGATATAGGCCAGATTCTTGCTTAGCTGTACCAATCGTTTCGAGGGATGAAAGATCCTGAATTAAGCAAGAATTGGCAGTAAATTGTAAAGAACAATTGGAGGTTTGAACTAATTTGGATACTGAAATGAGATTGAAAGTAAAAGCAGGAATGTACAAGACATCAAATAAGGTCAGTTTTGGGGCAATATTGATGTTGCCTATGTGTGTAACCTGAACTTTTACACCATTAGGTAAAGAAACAGACATATTACTTATAGTTGTATATGTTTGAAATAAATGTAAAACAGAAACCACATGATCAGTAGCACCACTATCCACTATCCAATCCATAGAAGTCAAGACTGAATTAACAGAGGACAGAATCATACCAGTATCTTCTGTGGGAACCAAGTTAACCCCAACAGGTTGTGGAATGTAGCCAGAATCAGCTGCCTGTGGAATTATACCAGAACCAGCAGTTTGAGGAAGAACTCCAGAATCATCAGATGGCTGAGTGCGAACTTCTGGTGCAGGAGTCAACTGTCTAGCTGAGGTGACCAAATTGGCCACAGGAGTAGCAGAAGCACGCTGACCTTGCTGGAACTGAGTCTGACCTTGCTGGAGCTGAGTCTGAGTTAAGAGAGACTGATACTGAGCTCGCGAAAGTATCACAGAATCATCAGCTACCACTCCAGTTGGAGAATCAGAATCAACCACAGCATTGATACGACGATGCTTATATCCAGGAGGATAGCCATGAAGCTTGTAGCAGCGATCCACAGTATGTCCATATCCTTCACAATGTGTACAGTAGGGCCTCTTCTTACCCCCACCAGGACCTTGAGCAGACAATCCCTGACCCTTGCCATGACCAGAGGACTGTCCCTTCGAATTGCCATGAGCAGCAAGAGCAACAGGTAATGCAGAAGGTATCGCAGCCTGGCGTTCATGTTGAGCTAGGCTAGAAAACACCTTGTTGATGGACGACAGTGGATCATTCAGCAGCAACTGAGACTTGATATGACCAAAGCTCTCATTAAGTCCTTTCAGAAACCGAATGACCTGATCCCTACGCACATATTCTCGCGGAATCGACGAAGCTAGACAAGCACACTTAGGGTTGCAGGTACACACAGGGAGAGGTCTAAGAATCAAGAACTCCTCCCAAAGGACTCGAAATTTGGTAAAGTAAGCACTGATAGACATCGAACCTTGTTTGAGAGCAGCAATCTCATCGTAGATATCTGAGATGCGAATCTCATTGCCCTCGCTGAAACGCTCTCGAAGATCCTCCCAGGCTTCCACAGCTGTGTTAAACCATAATATGCTCTGTGCAATCTCAGGAGAAACCGACCTCTGAATCCATCCGAGCACTAGAACATTGGCCTGATCCCAAGCACTCCAAAGAGGATCAGTCGGCGCCGGGACAGGTGAAGCAGAATCAATCAACGGGAGTTTGTTCCTTGCATGGAGACCCATTCGCATTGATCTTGCCCAGCTGTGGTAGTTAGAACCAGAGAGAAGCACCGTCACAAGCTGTTGAGCAGAAAGATCGCCATTGGCGACGAAAAACGGATGCGCCGGCGAGAGAGAAGCTCCAATGGCCGCCGAACTCGCAGAACCACCAGCCATAGCACTCACCGGAGGAACAGCACCAGAGACAGGAGGAACACCGGCAGAAGCGCCAACACCTCCCGTCGCAGCACCAGAAGACGACGAGCAAAACGTCGCGTTGACAGCGGAGAAAGACGCCATCGATCTAGATCTGAGAATAGCGAAAGACTGTCTGAGACGAAAACAAGAATCACAACGAAGACGAAATCGATGATCGCCGCAAAGAGAACGAACGGTCAATCGATCGTCGCAGATGAACGAATCGAGGAATCAACAGAGGAAGCGGAAACTGGATCGAATCGATCAAAGAAAGATCGAGAAGCAGAGGAGAGAGAAAGGAACGAGCTGTTCACTTCTCCTAAAATCCTCGAGAAACAAGAAAAGAAAATGACTGATCAGTCAACGAAAACAAGAAAGTGAAATTCACTCTCTGATACCATGTCGTTTAGGGAAGCCATCAGGCAGATTTTTATTAATTGGAATCCAAAAGTTACAATATTCGTTACAATATCACATATATATAATAACTACAAACTATCTATACAGTACTCACAGTTTACACATTTACAACAATATCTACAAACAAATCAATAACTACATCTAGGTCCTCGTCGTTTCCTCCTTGGACAACTCAAGAAGTGGAAAAGAGGAAAATCAGAAGAACAAAAGAAGAAACAAAAGCGCACTCTCAACAGAGCGCAGAAAGCGAAAACAGTAATGAGAAGGAAAAGAAGAAACAAAAGACTGAAGCCACCACAAAACTGAATCACTCAGCAGAGGCACCCAGACGAGCAAGTCGATCCTGTAAGAAGATCATTCCCTGAAGCTTATCAATTTTCTTATGCACCGAGATCCATTCGACGATTGCTCTGGAAATCTTCCTGGCCACCACCATAAGATTTTAGGACTTAATTGTCTAAGGGTTGTTTTGTTTTGGTGATAGTTGAATTGATGCATTGTATACTAGAAAATTGGGCATTGTAATTTACATTGTTTGGTTTTATGATAGTTATTGTAGTATTTAAATAATTTATATTAAATTTTGGAAGAAATATCATGTTTAATCTTTTTTTTAATGTAAAAAATAACACATAAAAAGTTAGCGATATAGTTGGAATAAAAAATCTCAACAATCTCACATAAACTTCCTCAACAATCTCACTTAAAACATGATATTTAACTATCACTCATTTTCAGTGATAGTTTATGTCACATTAAGCAAAAGTCAAGAACCAGTTGCTCCCAATAACTCGAGTTGTTGAGAGATGTTCAATCGTGGATCATATACCACAACACTAACACGCCCCTCAAACGAAAGCCACTCACAAGGGCTTGAAGTTTGCACAGGTCTGAAGACAAGAATACCATGTGCTTAACAAATGGGGGTCACCGGGAATCGAACACAAGACCTCTCGGTCACAGAAGGCTCTGATACCATGTCAAGAACCAGTTGGTCCCAATAACTCGAGTTGTTGAGAGAGGTTCAATCGTGAATCATATACCACAACACTAACACAATACATGTATTTTATGTGTAGAAAATTTTAAAAAAAAATGCAATGTAAACAGCAGTGTTCAAGAAGACGCGCCTAGGCGTGCGCCTAGGCGCGATTAGGCGCTGGGCAAGGGGAAATCGTGGAGTCTAGCCCTGGGCGAAGTGGTTGGGCGTGCAAAACGCAGAATCGCGTTGAAAAACGCCGAGACGGCGACTAGTAGCTCGAAGTCGCGATTCCTTGCCGTCGGGCGGCGCCCCTGAACAGGAGAAGGGGGAGGAGATGCTGCTGCGTTTGGCCCCAAAAAACCCTAATCCCTTTCATTTCCAATCGGGTAGCAGACGAGCAACTCTCCCTTCTTCACAGCAGCTGTCGTAGCTTTCCCTCCTCTCTAGCCAACCGCCGCCATCGTCTCTCCTCTCCAGCAAACCGCCGCTGCCGGCGAAGTATGAGTCTGTGAAGTTTGAATTGAAGAGAAGAAGTATAGAATCTGAGAATAGGAAGAAGACTAGAGAGGAAGAATCAGAGGGAAGGAGGGAATTCAGAAGAGAGTTGATGTGGAAGACGAACAGAAGAAGGGAAGAAGAAGAGGAAACAGAAGAGATTGGGAAAATGTTATTTTATTTCTTACTCTTTCTTACAGTTCCGTAGAGAAGCTTTTATAGTTCTTTACACAATATCCATAGTAGTCCCCATACTTATCCTACTTACAACTAACCCCTTTTCATATCCCGGTTTATTACAGTGACTCACTCGTCCTTACCGCTCTCGTTTGGTGGGTTGATGAATGATAAATAATGGATTAATGATAAAGGGTAGTAGGATATGCTGCTGATTTATGTGGAAAAGGGGTAATGGTATGTTGGATTGAGATTTGTAGGCATGAGTATGGTGGATTAAGGGCTTCTTAGGTCAAATTTTTTTCCACGTTTAATCTCGCCTAGGCGACGATTAATCGCCCTGGGCGCTGGGCGGTGCCTCCCCGCCTAGTTGACGCCCAGCGTCTTCTTGAACATTGGTAAACAGTACAAAAATTGTAATTATTTCAACCAAACTATCGTCAAACCCAAACAAGTCCTAAATATGTTAGACATTGGATTTACCAAGTAGTGCAAATAGTTTAGGTATGATGCGCAGGATTAGGAATAACGTGTAGAAGACTGATATGATGTAATGTAAATAGGGGTTAAAGACACATTTGGTCACTGAGATTACTAAATCGAGACATGTTTAGTCACTAGAAAAAGTTAATATCAAATTTGATCACTGTAATTACTAAAACGGGACACATTTAGTCACTCGCTGTTAGTTGCCGTCCAATTCCGTTAACAGAGTCCGTTATGTGCTGACGTGGCTAATGTGAGCGCCTAGTCAGCGCTGTTTTGGGCCGGAAATGGTCAAACCCGACCCGCCACGTCAGACATCACCCAAATCATTAACCCAACCGGACCCAGAAATAAACTCTAACCCACTTAAAAAAACAAAACTCATCAGTTTCCTTCTCCTTCCTCTATCATCCAATCCCCACTCCACGACCACCCCCGCCGTCCAACAGAATCACAGATGTAAAGAAAATTTTCAAGGCTGCGATTCCTCTGCCCTTGGCGACGACAGAGGGAACAGAGTCAGCAGCTGAGGCTCGGATTCTCTAGGGGTCGACACCGGCAAGGGATGCAGAAAAAAACCCATTTTCCGCAATCGCCCGGTCTTCCTCCTCCAACGGCGAGGATGAGCTATTGGTACTGCTGCAGTTCCCCGACGATGAGGGGCAGGGTGACAGCCCTGACAGGGCGCCGTTATTGTGGAAGAATGTGTCTTGATTCAATAGAGTCACTGGGCTCAGCGTCAGCTTGGGGAAATCCAGCAAGCTCGGTGACAAGATCTTCGCGGCGGAGGCGGAGGGAGGGGAAGAAGGCGAGATGAGATTGGAATGGAAGCCGAAACGTCCGGCGGTCGGAAGCAGAGTGTTGATCATGAGGCTATGGTGCTTGAAGTTGTTGCTCCTCCTCTCGTAGAGTTGCTGCTGCTGTTGTTTCTTGTGTGGGTATGCTTATGATGGGATGAATGGGGAAATGGGTGTTGCCCCTCATTGGCGGCGACAGTGGCAAAGGATCTTGGTGTCTTGGGGAGGAGGCTGGTTTGGCTGTGTCGGCGGATCCGGTGAGAATTTGGACGACTTGCTTGAAAGTTGAGGTATTTGCCTAGACGAAGGTTGTTGGGTAAGGATTTATATGGTGGTGGTGATAATCAGATATGGGGATCTGGTGGCCGCCATTGGAATTGCTGAAATTACCGTTTGGGGAAGCCAATGGAGATTATTGTTGTCGGAAAAGATGGTTCTTCTGGCTCTCGGATGATGAAGCATTGTTGTACATTAGTGCTCTGCCTACTGCATTGTTACTACTGCTGCCTTCCATTAGTCACTCTGTTTTCTTGCTCAGCCGCCGCCGTGGTTGGAATTGCAAGCCATGGAACCGAATTGAAGTTGTGGAAGAAGGAGGGAAATGGTGGTTGTGACTTGTTAGACTGTGGAGAGAGTGGAGAAAGAGAGAGGGATGAGCTTGGTTGGAGAAAGGGAGATTTTCTTTACATCTGTGATTCTCTTAGATGGGTTAAGCACTTATGACCGCCGACGGCGGCGGTTGGGCTCACATGGCGGTGGATGGTCGTGGAGTGGGGATTGGATGACAGAGGAAGGTGAAGGGTTTTCGGTTCTGCAAATGGAAACTGATTTGTTTTTTTAAGTGGGTTAGGGTTTATTTCGGGGTCGGGTTGGGTTAATGGTTTGGGTTGGATGTCTGACGTGGCGGGTCGGGTTTGACCATTTCCTGCCCAAAAAGGCGCTGACTAGGCGCTCACGTCAGTACATAACGGACTCTGTTAACGGAGTTGGACGGCAACTAACGACGAGTGACTAAATGTGTCATGTTTTAGTAATTATAGTGACCAAATTTGATATGAACTTTTTTCTAGTGACTAAATATGTCCCGATTTAGTAATCTCAGTGACCAAATGTGTCTTTAACCCATGTAAATAGTTAAAGTATTGTCAGGTACTCTTCCTCTTGTCAGCTCTATTAGATTGCGTTTGGATAGATGTATTTCAAATATAATGTATTTGAAATACATGTTTTGAAAATGCATGCATTTGAAATACATGTTTTGAAAATGCATGCATTTGAAATATATGTAATTCAAATTCGTTGTCTGGATATTCATTTGTATTTTGTTTGTATTTTAAATTTCATGTTTTTTATTTTAATTTTGAACTTTTTTAAATTTCCTTTTTGGTAAATTACAGTTTGGTGCCCAGATTTATTTTTTCTTACAATTTCGTACCTTAACTTTTAAAATTGTACAAAAAAGGTCCAGAAATTTTGATGGTAAATTTATGTTTTTGTACCTTTATATGTGTTGCTTCACACTATAGTACCTGAACTTTTAATATTTTACAAATAGGTCCAATTTTTTGTTAGGTCTTTCAAATCACTAGTTGTTGAAATGTATTTGAAGTTGACAAGTAATGCACTAGACATGTATTTGGAAATCACCCCATGATTTTGGCACAAATCCAAATACCAAATTTTATTAATATCCAAACACATGATTTGACATTTAGAAATCCAAATGGCAAATACCAAATCCAAATCATTCTATCCAAACACACGCTTAATATATTTGACGAGCTGCGATTGGAGTTTTCTAACTATTTTCCCTTCTTTATCGTCTATAGTCGCATGATTTCCTCAACCCCTTTTCCCCCTTCTAATCGATCACTTCCGACATGTATGTTAACACTTAATGTGAATATTTATTACAGTACTAGTATGAGATTTAAGTCAACCATCTTCACATCCAAAGACAATAGTGTTGCATTTGGCTCACACTTATAAAGAGCGAATTTGAAACAGCGTTGAAGGACAAAAAAAAAAGGGACAGGAACAAGAGGATGGAAACAAGAAGAATTGATTTTGAGGAATGAGGAAAAGAGGATATGGGATGGGCGTTTTTTAGCGATTTGTAAGGATTCTCTTTGGCCCACGGAAAGTATGTTAGGTTTTGTGAACTCAAAGTGGACACAACACAATAATAATATGACACTGCATGACACTCTTTTTCTTGCCCCCTGGCCCAATTGCCCAATAATATCAAAAATTTCTATTGAGATTTCAAATTTAAATCTAATTAACGCATATTCTGATTGGATTGGGGGCAAATTACCTCACCCCACAATAATTCACCACCGCCGTCAGTCCTTCCTGGCAATCCCATGAGCCAGCTCACAATCAAACTCGCCACTAGGAGTAGGAATTACCTCGTCTGGGAACTTCTGCCCCAACAATTGCTGGATGCTTATGAACTACTTCATTGAGCTGATCACATGCACCAATATCGATCGGTGTATCGTTCCTGGCTTCGATGGGATTGTTGGCTCGACGTCCAAATTCATGCTGCATCGAGAATCCAGCACTCTGCTGGCCGCCCATATCAAAAGCAGCCAGAAACTGGATGTGGTTTACCCCAGCTCCGGACTTCGACTCGAAGAATGAACAGTAAAAACAAGAAACTGCGATGAACTAGTCTAAAACTATCCCAAAATTCCCCTACATTCGGCTCCTTTCCTAATTGACAACCTATGCTCCTCTCCCAACAGAATTTCATGGAGAGACTCGGCAATTAAACAAATAAATATATAGTTTTATATACAGCACGAGAGAGAGAGAGAGAGAGAGAGCATGGAATTGTTTTGTATGAATACAAAGTTACAACAAGAAAGTTAAGAGAGTTACATATCTATTGACCATTGTTGTCAGAATCCAGTGGCTTCCGGCTTACAAGCACACCCTTATTCCAAACCTCGACGCACCTGTAGATGGAGCACGGTGTAAGGACATGAAAGCATGGAGTTCATAGTATTCTGACGTGAATTAACAGTCTTTTAGACAAAATATGGTTGAACCATCATTCAAATCCCCTCAGCAGAAGATGATACACAATATGGATGTTTGTAGTTGCCGTGCATTTTCCAGATGAACTAAGCACACATTCTAGGTCGAATTAGGTGCCTAAGTTTACCGATAAATCTAAACTAGAATGGTAGTGATAATTATCAAGTATTTGCCATGTTAATGATAAGGAAAACATGGCAGATAGGTCTGTGTTCAAAGTAAATATTTGAAGATAAGAGTTTAGAAATTCTATCTAACAACAAACAACAATTTAGCCATGCAAAGATCAGTTTGGAATTTAAGTATTTACCACGTTAATGAGAAGTTGAGGCTATTATTCACAGACGAAAGGAACTAAGATCGAAGTAAATAAGTACAGCGACTCAAATTCTCACCTTGTTCCATCAACATTTATACAAAGGAAGTCACCATGGCGCCAACCATCTACAAACTGGCCAAAAAAGACATCGCCGAACTTTGAATAGAAGCGGCTTTCGCCATTGGCTTTTCCCTTCCAGAAGTTTGCAAACCAACGATCCCCCGTGTGGAAATAAAACCAACCCTAAATGATTGGAAAATATATAACATTTAGTCTTCCAAGAAGTATCCAAGCTAAACATACTTTCCAAACTAAATGGGCACCTCAAAACAATGTACTAGTACGTTAACGGTTATGACTGGATAATATCAGCATGGAGCAAAAACCACCCAAAACCAACACAGAGCCTTGTTGAAAGATCCTTAAGAAATGCGTCTACAAGTACTTTACCTTCAGAAACGTAGTCAATACACTTACCCTATCCAGGTAACTTCAACTGTTTTGATTGCTTGTGAAGTGTAGACAAAACATTAAACCCACATTCATGATCATCTAGATATATGGATTTTCCCTTATTGGTCAAACACCTATATGATCAAACATATATCCACTGATAATTTTATATTTGAATCAACGTTCAACGATACTGTGTTTCTCTACACAGAAAATATGGCATGTCGGCATTTCTCACTAGATCATAGATGTAAGCTAACAAATATCCAGATAAGTAAACAGCTGGAGAAATCAAGATTGAAGACCAGTATTCCAGCCAGAATAGATAAACACAAACCTTTCCATGCATAACATCGTCCCTCCATGAGCCCTGAAATACATCTCCATTACTGAAGTAGAAAGCCCCCAGTCCTGATCTTTTACCATAGCGCCACATGCCATCATATATGCTCCCATCATCAAGGAGAAGACGGCCCTAATAGAAGTTCAATTTGGCAATTCGTTTCTAATGTCTTCTATAATATATGAGATGAAAAAAATGAAATGCTTATTTGTGACAGGCCTGTGGTAGTCTACCTTTCCTTCAGGAAGTCCCCCTTGGCATTTCCCCTTATAAACTCCACCTCTGTAATGCATTTCTGTTACAGGACTCCACTTTTTCGGTGAATCGCGCTCAGATTCCTGCGTGAAAAGAGAAATAAGAATAATTGCATACTAAAAGAAAAGGCCAAACATCAGAAGTGAAAACAAAAGCCAGAATAACAACACTACTCCATTTATTATTATTTTTACCCTGTTAATTTCAACCCTTGAATCCATTATATGCACAGAAAAATCATGACCTATTTTCCATTTGTAGTTTATGGATTTAATAGAAACATTGCTATTACCGAAAGACAGAACAAGTTACAACTGTTACAGTTTTGAAACTCAACTTCCCTTGGCCATCCATGCTATTTTTAATGATTTTTAAAGAGCATTACTTTGCAAATGGAAGTTCCGCGCATGGCATGTTATAAAGTTATGGAAGGACTACGATTTTTCGCATGGAATAGAAATTTGAACAGGGAAAAGGAGTTGCAATCTGCAATCAAGCCTCTTTTGGGTAAAAAAAACTGAAATAATGTAGAATGTGGCATCAAAGTGGAACCTAGATTAACATGAGAATGGGGAAAGATTCGAAGTAACTTGAAGAAGGAATAACTAACATAGTTAGCTAAACAAAATGACATCATGGATTGCGCTAACTAGCACA